TAAGAATTAACAAGTATGCAATAAATATTACTTTATTATTATATATGCATGCTTTTACATGCACCTTATCGACAATACATATGATGCCATGCACATCATCTACATGGAAATGGTTTTAATTTACAATTTTATCTCTTGTTCCCATTTTGTCGATTTCCCTGATATATTAACATACCTTCTTGTCAAAAAAATATATTTCTCAATTACAGAAAGGTGATGGAAAAGGATACTCAGAGCCTGTAAAAAAAGAAGACAATGAGAAATAAAGTGAAGAAAGTAAAACTGGAATAGATTATTAAGACTAACAGATTCAAAAGCAGTCCAATCATTAATATCCTTTGTTGCTGCACACATTAGCTACACGATGAGAAAATGAAGGTAAACATGGCATGCATTATAACAAAGCCATCCACATAGATATATTTACTTTCCTCATTGAACATGTATCCAAAAATGATGAAAAGGCTCTGCCAGTAATACTGGTAGTATATACTTGATTGCCTCTTCATAATCCTCACATTCTCATAATGTCTATTATAATAGTAATTATGTCATAATACATCATGTACATGCATAAAAATAATTTTGATTTTTGCATATTGCTAACTTTGAAGTAGATGGATGCATTATAATCAGCATGGATTTTTTCCAAGGTCAAAATTGCTTCATGATATTTCTTTACATAGTTTACATAGACACAAAAATCAGACTAATTATAGGAGATAGAAAAGAGATACAATACAATACAATAGATTGTGATATTGTCATGTTAAAAATAATTGGTATAAAATTTTTCCAAGTTGTTTTATGTTTGTCGGTTGACCCATCAGTGTAATCTTTTTAACACCAAAAATTTAGGATGTGTCATTAAATGCACATGTGGCTACTAACTTTTGATGCCAATGGACAGCTATTCAATGTAAGTTCTCATGATAGTACTGACAGGGAGCCTCTTGTGTAAGAGCTACAGGCCTCATTGGGTTTTAGAAGAACCTCTTGTGTGCACTGCTGCATGTTACAATAATTTCAAAAATCTCATTATTCACTGTAAAATTTATTTCTGTCAAATTTTTGTGGATCACTTCAACAATAAAAATAGTTTAGCAACAAAAAATTTCCCAATCTACGGTATAGTTAGTATGATACAATATATTATATTATTTTGAGGCGAAATATTTTTGTGAAAGTTGTGTCATCATTGCCACATGGTGCAGTTTGTGAGCTATTTGAAAATTATTATTAAAATAAATTCTTGTATGGCTGCCTAAACCTAGCACAGGGATTGGTAATGGGTAGTCAAATAGAAAATAAAAGTTGCAGAAAATATTGCCCCCAAAGGCAACCCAAGATACAATATTATGCAGAAATAAAAATTTGATGGATGCAAAGATTGAAAGAAAACAGCAATAAATAGACAACAAAAATTAGCTAACAAATAAGCTGACTGACTGTTTTAATAATCTGGCTTACTTCAGCAACATCCCGGAAGCAAAACCCGATGTTTGTCCCACTCTTATCAGGACATTCAATATCAATTTCATGCATATTGAATGAGTGACAATAAGTGTGTAGCAAACTTGTACACATCATGTACTGGGCCAAATATTGCCTGAACTTCTTTATGTGGGAACAAAGTTTTATTATTTAAAAATATTAGGATAAAATGCATACAGTATATGAGTAAGAAAGATTGCTGTATTAGTGAGAAAATTTATTTCATGAATCTGATAAAATGTGTGACAATCAGTGAGAAGAAAACACTGGGGGCCTGAAGCACCCAAAATCTAAAAAAATGTCTAAAGGTGTCTATTAAAATTTCCTGCACTATAAGAGTCTTCTGCCAAATTTTGCCATAAAAAAAGTTGTCAACTCTATAAGTATTTCTGCTATATATATGCTCTAATGTTAAATGGAAGTTGGATCTCTTTCAATAAGTTTGTATTTTTTGCAAATCTTTTAAAGTTGCTTCAGTTTGGTCTCATACAAGCCAAACTTTGCAAAATTGTAAGAAAAGAAAATTCTACATTAAATATTTTTCCTAATACATTACGCATGTACTTATGTTGCATAGAGAAGTTTGAACTGATTCCAATCAAATTTGGGTTTTTAAACGACACTTAAACATGCTTTAAAATTGGACCAAAGTCAATAGTACATGGTCTTGGGGCCTAATAGCAAGTTCTTTATTGTAATACTTTTTGTGATACATACTATGTTCTTGTTTTGCCTAGAAAGTATGAGCAACATGTAAATTCAATTAAAGTTCAATTTAAAAAATTTTGAAGTTACTCAAATATATGGCAGTTCTGTCCCAGGTCAAATTTTGCCAAAAGTTGCTAGGTAACACTATCAATTTTTATACCAAAATGTTCTTAAGCCCAACATACACTGTGCAACATTTGTTGAATGCAACACATTTTATATAGGAGTCAATGGAGCATTCAACTATTTGCAGGAATTGAACTGATACTTCTTTCATGCAACAAGATGCCAGCACCTTTGAGTCCTGCATAAACTGTGTTGCATAGTACTTTATGTCGGGATTTTATGTTGCATAGAAAGTTTGAGCTGATTCAAATCAAAATTGAATTTTTTGCAGATTTTTAAAGTTGCTCAAAAATTTTTGCCAGAATTAAAAAAGTTATTATTCTCCATTTTCTGGTGCATATACAGGTATTTATGTTATGTACAAAAGTTTCAACTGATTCTAATCCAATTTGGATTTTTTTGATCCAAAAATTATGGTACTCTACTGAAATGCTTGTGACTCTAAAACATAGTGTAATATATGATTTGTTTTCACCACTTCGCTTCACTTAGCTGGATTTTTAAAAGGCTTATAAAGGCTCTTTCTATAGAGAAGTATCTCTATTTTTTCTTGCTCTATCCATGTAGAACCTGCCATTCTGTTTACTGTGGTCACACCTACTGACGTAAAGGCGTGGGCAAATGATTGCTGAATTAATTAAGTCAAGCAAGGTATGTACATCAGGATGTTAACAACACCATTTTGCCAATTTTAAAAAATTTTCTAATCCAGGTTTACAGCCACGCTAGCAATATCATTGGAGTTGGTAAAGATAATTGGCAAGCAAAAGATCTCATTTTCCAGGCAACAAAGTCAGGACAGCCATTTTAAAATGGGGTGAATAGAGATTTGCATTTAGTGAAGAACTCTATAATTATTCTACAGCCAAGTATATGTCATTGTTGGAAAAACTCAGTTTGTTTCTGTATCTGCGTACCATTCTTGCCCCCTCTTTTGATTAAATGTAATGTCAACTCCTAAATTTTTTCAGATTTTTGTTGGCATTTTCTGGGCCCTGGTGTTCCACCATGTACAATCTTACTTCTC